GGAAATTTTTTTGCTATTGGTATCAAAGATATTACTTGACTTTTCTTAATTACTAAAAGTCAAATTTTTGAGTGAAGAGATTTGTAGAAAATAAAGGAAGGGTAGTAGTAACTCTTGAAATAATATTTCAAATTGTATTAAGGAAAGTATTAAGACTTTATTAATAAAGAAGTATAAAAACTTTTTGTAAATATTTTTTTTTGTGTGTGGTCAGAGAATCAGTGGAAAAAGTTTAAAATTAAATAAATTGTTTTAGTCTTATATTATATTTATTTTAAATATATAAATAAGTTTATCTTTGTTTGAATCATAAATTTCTTTAAACATGATAAAAATGTTTCTTTAATATTTTCACTTAAATAGATATCCTATAACTATATAAAGTCTATTATTATACTTTGTATTTTTCAATATTTATCAATAAAATAGGCAGTTATGCCTAAAAATACTTTTATTGAAACTGATATTCAAATATCAAGTATAAATAAAATATGATTTTCTATTTCTTGTAACATTTTTTGAATTTTTTCTTAATCATTTAAATAATAGTCTATTATATAGGTTTTAATAAAAGTAGCAAATTGTATTTTTGTATTTGATATTAATGTTTGTATAAAGGCAAGAAAAGCTGGTTTTTGAATAACTGTAAAAGGTTGTTAATTGATAATGATCTATTGAACAAGTTTTTTTTTCATTTTTGTTGAGTCATATGTTCACTATATATAAATATAAAAAATCAATAGTATTTTTTTTTAAAATTTAAAAATTATTTGAAATTATCTTCATTTTAAAAAAATTGTCAATTTCAGTATTGCTAGTTATTAAATTTAATTTTGTTGAATAAGTTTTTTCATGATATTTTATAAGATTAGAAATGCCACCTTTACTATAAGTATATATTGTTCTGTAATATTTACAAGTAATCTTTTTGTCCTCTTTAAAACTTGTACTCCTTGTAAAGTGTTTCTATACTTTACTTCTAGAATTGTTGAGGTAAGTGAGATTGATTCTGATAGATTGTTTATATTAATATTTTCAATGTCAATATTATCATAACTAGTTAAACTGCTACTTTAATTATATGCAAATTAAATGCTATCAAATAAGTTTTTATGTTCCATTTTTAAAAAAAATAAATTAGTAAAAGAAAGAATATAATAAAAATAATTAAGTAATAAAACTATAATATTATAAATAAATGTTTAAAAAATCATAAAGAAAAACAAGGATTGAATTTTTTTTTTAAAAAAAAACCTATTTTATTTTTCTAGATAGTTTGATTTAAATAAGATTAAATAATTATATAATAATTTATATAAACTAGTTTATATCTGATTTGAATCATATCAGGTTTGATCTAAGTTTAATTTAAATCTGATAATTTTGTAAATTTAAAATTTAATTTTATTTGAATTTTATTAGATTAAAAATTTTAAAATTTGATTTGATCTGATTCATATCTAATTTATAAATTAATCAGATTCAGATTAAAATTATTGTATAATCACTAATACTCAGTAAACATCAAAGATAAAAAAGAGCACAACTGGGATCTTTTCAAGATAACAGAAAAATAATACTAGGCAATTTTTAATTAATATATTACAATTATTTTCTTAAGGAATTAAACTTACTATAAGGAAAACCAGCATATAATTTTCAAATATATACATACTTAGTATATATTTAGATCCCTTATCAACTACTAAAGCACTCATTGAAAGGAAGATAAAAGCCCTAATCAGGATGATTCAAAAGTTACAATAAACTATAAGAAAAGTAGCAATAAAAAAACAACATTCAATTCTATATAGATGGCTTCTTTATAAAACATATAATTAAAAGTAAGATCGGAATCAGATGGGTAGTTTAGACAAGGTCGGGCCATAAAATTATGATCTTTTAAGCTGAAACTCAAGACACTCTATCCTTCATCAAAGTGAAATTGATAGTGATATTCATAGTAATTAGTAAGTTAGCTCTAACAAAAAGATTAACATTCTTATAGACAATCAAGGTACTATTAATATAATAAGCCAATTATTATATAAAAACTAGATCAAGAATCAGAAATCAGAAAGTTTAAACAGGCTCTTGATTAATACAATTTGAGAAATCATTACAATATAAAATATCAAAGTTCAGTGGACAAAAATCCAGAGCCACATAGAAAACAAAGAAAATAAATAGGTAAATAAATTAGTAATCACTATATTTACAAATAGTTTTAAGAATATTATAAAGATTCAAGAGCTTTAGTCCAAAAGTAGTAACACAATACTAAGATGGAACCAGTTCTTCATGAACCTACCCTTTAAAACAATAGGTAAGACTTACTTAAAGATAAAATGAACCAGCAAATAGAGGATAATATAATGAAATTAATATTGCTTATAGGATAAAGACTCAAAAAAATAAACTGAAAATTGATCATATTGATTCTAATACTATCCAATATCATATTTCTTCAAATTAGCCAAAAAGATCATAGAGATAGAACATTTCTATGAAAGATTTCACAATAGCAAATATAAACATATATAAACTGTGGATATATAAGTTAGTAATATATATAATCTATGGGAGATAAAAAGGTTACTTACATTCTTTTATCTGCAGATCAAATAGAACAAGGTTAACTATAAAGTTAATAATACTCTTAATATAAGAATATGTAGCAAGAGCTAATGGCAACAAATAATTATAGTCTATTCAAAGCAGGTGAAAACATTTCCTTAGACAAAATACAAAAATAGAAAACCAGAAGACAGTAGAACTTACAAATATAATTGAAGGAATTATTATGTATAAGATAATCCAGTCAGCTGAGAAAATTACAAAAGATAAAAAGAAAGCCAAAGCAGTAATAAAGAAAACAACAGTATAACTTGATAAGAGAAAAAGATCATTTGGAAACTAAAATATGAGTTGATTTCAGAATAAAAAAAGACACAAGGTATATTCAAGAAAATAAAATAAGAACGAATAAGAAATAATATTAAACCATTAGATAGAATAATACTGCAGGACAAGAAAAAAAATAGATATAGTACTAGAGAATAGTTGTATAGTATATATTGTAACTAACAAATTATAATATAAGAAATATATTATAAAACAGTTTTAATATTAACTCTCTTTTCTATATAAATATTAGTGTAAGTAAAGTCATGATATGTTAATATTCATCCTTGAGATGAATTGCAATAAGTTACAGAATTTGCAAGATATTAAGTCATTAGTTTTTTTCCTATTATAAATATATTTTCTCATAATTAAATTTATATATATAAGAGAATATTAATAATTAAATAAAAACTATATGACATAACTTTATCAGTTTAAAAAAAAAAAAAAAGTTTTTAAAGAAAAAAAAACTAATTATAAAGTATTTAAGATCTTTTTTATCTTTGAACTAAATTGTTATAAAAAATTTTTATAATAAAAGAGTTTATTTTTTTTACTTTATATTTTTTAAAAAATTTTATTTATTTTAATTTGATTCTAAATTTTTAGATAATATAATTTTTATTAAAAATAATTAGTTAATATAAATATATTAGTTTTTAAAATATAAATAAACTTTTATTGATTATATTTGTATTTTTTGATAATATTGTTTCTAATAAAAAAAAATTCCTATAAAGTATTCTTTAATTAAATAAATTTTTAAGGAAAATAATTATTATATTAAAAGGTAAATAACAAATATATAATATATTAATATTTATTTTTTATTAAATTTTTAGATAATATTAAAATATTATTATTTTAATTAGATTCTAAATTTAAGTTTTATAAATAGAAAGTATAAAATAAAAATTTTTTCTTCAAAACTTAAAGTAATAAGTTTTTTAAATAATATATAGTTTTAGTAATTAATAAATAAGTTTTTCAAATAGTTCAAGGTTAAAAAATATTTTAAATAGTTGAACCTTTTGAAAAAAAATTAGTTATTGAAATTAAGAATTTTTTTAAATTGTTTTTTTTTTTAATTTAGTAATTTAACAATTTATCATTTTTTAAAATAATTAATTAATAATAATTTTGCAAAAATAAAAGTTTTAATATTAATTTATTAAAAAGGTATATTGTTTTTTTTAGATTTGATTAAAAGTATATAGTTTAAATTTTATTTTATTTAATCTAAATTATTGTATATACTACAAATGGTAAAATTATTAATTTTATTAAATATAATAATTCTATTTCAAATTTTTTATTAAATGGTTTTGTTAATTACTATTAAAAATATAATAATTTTATTTTTTGAAATTTTTAAAAATTAATTTTATTATATATAAAATCCAAACTAGTTTAATCAACTACTTATATTCTTTAAATAATGTAATCCTTTAATTAATAATATACAATAATTAATTAGTTGTTATATAAAAATTTACATAATATTGTAATTATTTTTCAACAATTTCAATAAAACAAGCAATAATATTATTATAATAATACTGTAACTTTTAACTAATTTTTAATAAACTATAAAAACTTTATTATAAGAAAACTCAATATTTTTTAAAAAATAAGTAAATTTAAAAATTTTGTTCAATTTGATTATTTATATAAACTTTCATTCAAGTTTTAAAGGAGTACTTTTATAAATTTACTTTTTAAATATTATAAATTATAAAGTTTGTTTTTTATATACAATATTTAATATCACGTAAAGAAAAATCCTCGATAATCTAAGTGGCTTAGTGGCTAGGGAATGGCTTATTGATTGTTTATTTGCCCCGCAACAAAGTTTCAAATTGTTTTTGCGCCTTGCGTAGAACCAAATATTGAGAGGCTTTTGGGCATAGTCAATACACAAAGCCAATTGTTTCTTGGTATGGCTTCAAAAGTCTTTACATTTTATTGTAATGGATAGAATACATTTCCACGTATTATATACCGTCGAATTGTTATAAAAACTCTTGCGTTCCTTCCATCTTTCACTTCATCAACTTCGATACAAAAAATCATCCAAACTAAATACCGTAAAAATGAAATTCTCCTCAATTGCCGTCGTCTTAACTTTGTTGGCAGCAACTTCTTTTGCTGGTAACTTATTGTTTGCTATCACAATTTTTGTGTAGAAATTTCGTAGCGAAACTTATCCATATATTAATTACTACAGAGCCATCCGCCAACCAAGAGAAACGTGATGCCGAGCCATACTATTACTACAAGAGGGAGGCCAACCAAGAGAAACGTGATGCCGAGCCATACTATTACTACAAGAGGGAGGCCAACCAAGAGAAACGTGACGCCGAACCATACTACTACTACAAGAGGGAAGCCAACCAAGAGAAACGTGATGCCGAACCATACTACTACTACAAGAGGGAAGCCAACCAAGAGAAACGTGATGCCGAACCATACTACTACTACAAGAGGGAAGCCAACCAAGAGAAACGTGACGCCGAACCATACTACTACTACAAGAGAGAAGCCAACCAGGAAAAACGTGACGCCGAGCCATACTACTACTACAAGAGAGAAGCCAACCAGGAAAAACGTGACGCCGAGCCATACTACTACTACAAGAGGGAAGCCAACCAAGAGAAACGTGACGCCAACCAAGAGAAACGTGACGCCAACCAAGAGAAACGTGATGCCAATCAAGAGAAACGTGATGCCGAACCATACTACTATTATAAGAGGGAGGCCAATCAAGAGAAACGTGACGCTGAGCCATACTACTATTACAAACGGGAAGCAAACCAAGAGAAACGTGACGCCGAAGCATACTACTACTACAAGAGGGATGCTGAAGCTTCCCCTGAACCATATTACTACTATAAGCGCGATGCTGAAGCGAGTCCTTACTACTACTACAAACGTGATGCTTCCCCTTACTACTACTATTAAGAATTCTTATACCTTAAGAATTTTGATCACTTTGTGCATAAAGAGATGAAATTTCTTTGTAAATATTTTTTAATACTCATTGTGTAAATATTTACACAAGATTCCTTTCTTTAGTTTACGTATATAGTCATAAAATTTTATTGTAAATATTCTTTACAGGATAGAAAGGGCTTCACACTTGTTAGATTTGCCGTGCTAATAAAGATCGAATAATACAAGTCTTTAACACTCACGTGAAAATGAGGCATCATGTGTATCAATGTGCAAGGTTTTATCTAGACTTACTTAAATTTTTTAAAGGGATGCTTACGCAGACGCTAGCTTACAAAGGAGCCGAAGAGAATTCCTTTTTTGGTTTCAAGTCCGAGAAAGTGTATCCATATAATCTTTTTCCGTTAATTGGTTTCCACCACGTAACCCAAAATTTTGACACCTTTTAAGTGCAACCAATAATCCTTTTCCGAATTAAGATACCCTAACTCTGTATATGCAGATGAATTTTTTTGGATTATTATTATGAAATAAATAAAGTTTTAATAAATCATCTTCCGCGGGAATGAATGAATAATGAATGTTTGTTATTCGTAAATAAAAATAAAATCGTATCAAATTGAGTAAGTTTGCAACGTAGTTAACATATTACCCAGGCGATAGACCGGGATCGACTTTTCGTTTTTGGTCCGTTCATCTCGTAACATTATTTTTGATGAAGAAGATGATAATGGTGAATGAATATGTTCTCTTCACCTTGCCTACCGAAGAACAATTAAATCTCATAGTTTTCTCTTCTTTTTTTTTTACGCATCTCACCTTCACTCATCCTCTCCTTAATTCATTGCAAATTTCACTATGCCATCCTATCCCATATTGACCATCCTTTACGTGATATTTCAAATCATTAGTTTAATTCTCCTTGGAGTACTGATATACTCTATCCTTATTTCAAAACATCACTTCACGAAGTGGACCCTCTTCCAAATGTGTATATCAACATTTGTGAATAACACGAGTAGGCTCATAATTGTAATGTACGATGCCAACACGAGAAGGTCGCAGTTATGCATGGTCTTCCGATTTATCGCAACGTTTACATTCTTCCCGTTGATGACCCTCCCTTCGGTGGTGTCGTTCTATCTTTGGTATGTGTTGGTTAAGGGAGACGTGGGAATCGAAAAGAGGTGCATCGTTTATGTTTCATGCTTGATTTGGGCATACGCAGCTGCCTATACCACCGCCATGATCGCGGAGGCAATGAGAGGACGAGAATTTCAAAAAGAGGACTTGAAGTTTTATAGTTATTTTCTACCTGTCGCTACGGTGTCCTTGTTCGCCACGGCGATTTCTTGTGAGTGATTGATAGCTTGACTTTTTTTTTCTTTGGTGAACTTGTCCATCTCAAGTTCTCACTTTAACAACCCATCATCGTCTAATATTTAAAGGTCATTCGTGTGTAATTCTGTGGCAAAAATGGCGAAATCATAGTTTTCGTCAGAACAGAGCTACCGCTATAAAACTTGGACATGCCACAAGATTGTTTGTCTTCAGCTCTTTATATGTCGTGATCCTTTTATTCGGATTCATTCCGCGGATAATTAGCTATAATTATCGTCAATATACGGAAAAAGCTAGAATCTTGGAACCGATTATTAACTTTGCGACGGCGTTGGTGTAAGTACTCGAGCTTGGGAAGTCTCCTCCAAAGAAAACACATTATGGTCGTTCGCTTACCGAAATTCTTTCTTTACAGAGGGGTGTTCATGTTCTCTATCTTTGGCACAAGCAAAAGTGCAGCAATATTTCTACCGTGTTGCTATTATGTCCCACCGGCTTCCTCGTCACCCGTCTTCACGAATTCTTTTCACGTGACAAAAGTCGACACGCCGACGAATATTATAACAGAAAGTAACCAAGAGGCAGCCATAAGCATTGGTAATACAAGGCATGGACTTGGGTGTTTGAAATTTGTCAGGGATTGTATAATTTCTGATCATGAGCGTAAAAGTATCCAGATTTTACAAACGCCGTCAACTATAGGCGAGAATTCCGAGACACGAATTTGGATATAAACCTGCGGATGTTAAAAATCCGTCAACGATCGTGAGGTTTGGTGGGCGAGAGAACAGATAATATTCAACGACGGATGAAAATTTCGATATTGAGACAGTTGATGTTTACAATGTTGATGGTACGGCAAGATGTAATTCGAAAAATTTAAACGCAAAAACCAACCAAGGAAAAGTACATCGGTTGAAACACCTTAGCAAGATGGCAAGAACACTGAAGACTCTGCAAATGAAAACTACGGCTTCACAAGCCTTTATTTTTATCAATCGAGGCGCGATTTTTTATCTAGCACTGCGCATGAGAAAATCACATAAGCATCATACGGCATGGCAAAAATCTCATCTCAAAATAGTGTTTGTAACAGATCATAGTTGTTACCAATCACAAATATCCCTCTGTAATCAACCGAAAGAATGGGTAATTATTGTGCCTAATCGCTGCACCGAATAATACAAAATGGCGAGAGAGAACGGATTTTTTTATATACAATTTGATAGAGTAACAAAATTCCGGTTGGTTCGGTAATTTATTATATACCAGTCTTTTTAATCTGAAAAACGGGTATTAATTTGGATAAGTAAAAATTATAAAAAATTATTTTAAACTCGAGTTTATCACTTACTTGATTTATTTAATTTATGCAATATGTACATAAAAAATTTTTTTACTTGTGATAATCAATATTTTGTTGGTGCTCCGTTTATTTGCAATACTGCCAGAATTCTTCTCGGCATTGAATCTCCAATCTCTCTCAAAAATAATATATCAAAATTTGATCACTTTTTCTTTAGAGTGATCTTGAGCTCATCTGTTGTTTTTGGAAAATTCTTTTATTTTTTCAAATATTCTCGATAGGTTAAAGATCAAATGAACTTGTTGATCAATCCACTATTATTATATTTTTCTTTTTAATCTTTTTAATGATCTTTATGATATGTATAGAAGCATTGTCTACTTAATATAATATTTCTACTTACTAACAGACGTATAGAATTACAAAATGAATCAAATCTATTTTTAAAAATATTTAAATAAACTTTTAATCTAATTTTTTTATTATCTTATATTCATCAAAAAATATTAATGGATCCTTGATCTTGCTTATGAAATAACCTTATATTATAATCTTGCTTTTAAAGTTAAAAGTTAAAGAGTTAACATTATATCTTTTAATTCTAAGATATCATATTTTATTTTGTTATAATTGTTTATTTATTTCTATATTCGACTTACTTATCTAAAAAAATAATTTTTTATCAATTATATTATATGCATTTTTGATTCTATTTTCTTTATATCAAATAATATATACTCATGCATTATTTTCTAAAATAAATGATTTAAGTATAGCTATATATTATGTTATCAAATTTCATAATTATAAAATATTTTTATAACAATTATTAAATAGTATTTAAGTAAAAACCTATATTAAAACTCTTTCCGCTGATCCACTATTTTTCAAAAAATTTCCTTTTTTGATAATTCTTTAAAGAAAAAGGATAACACAATCCAAGCTCAGCAAACACATTAAAGAGAAACACAACTATATCACCCCACTTGGAGCAACACATAAAGCTCTATAAACAAGCCACCAGGAAAAAAGTA